GTGAGGTCCAGTGTCTGGATTTCTTGTTGGGGCTGTGTCATCCTATTTAATATTTTTTTCAGTCCCTGTAGGCAAATGCTAGTGTAGAACAAAACATTAGACCATTTTCACTTCCTTTTAGATTCTCCCTTGTAACCTGTTCAGTCAAGAATTTGTCAGTAAATAAACTAAGAATCTGACATTAAGAGTCGCTCGATAAGTTGACAGAACAGAATTAAATGAATAAAAAAAAATATAAATGAAAATATATGCATGCCTCTAGCATTATGAAACCACAAAATTTGGATAATAAAATAATATAATGTTTATTAAAGTTAGTAACATGATATATTACAAAAGTATCATAAATTATTTGAGGCACTGCATATAGTAAGGATGAAGTAAAAAAAATAACTTATGAGGCCCCTTTTATGCAACTTTCTCCAGCCTCCTAGTAATTAATCCCTCTTAGGTCCAAATATTTTCCTCAGCACCCTGTTCTCAAACACATTAGTCTGCGTTCCTCCCATAGTTCCAGAGACCAAGTTTCACACTCATAGAAAACTACAGGCAAAATTATACTTTAATATTTACGTTTTTAAACAGCAGATTAAAAGACAAAAGGTTGTGAACTGAATGTTAGCAAGCATTACCCGAATTTAATCTGCTCTTAATTTCCTCATGAATCAAATTTTGATTTGTTACTGTTGCTCCCAAATATCTCAACTTTGCCACATTTTCAAATGATCCATTATCCGTCTTTTCTCTTCATTCTGGTGATGAGGCATTAACATAAACTTAGTTTTCTCTGTGTTTACTTTTAGACCAACCTTTTTATTTGTGTTTTCATTCCATAATATTTTTTACAAACATTCTTACCAACTTAGTCCAGTTTGTGAACGAGCAATAGAAATGTTCTTGAAATTTGATTTGACCATCACGGCAGTAATGTTGGTCTGTTGGATAAAAACATCACTAGTGCCATTTCATGTAGAGACTTGGGAAATTGCATGGCTATATATTTAACAAGAACATCCAATGTTTGTTAACGTTATTTCTTGTGAAAATGGAAAGAAACGTGGTGACCTCTGTAATGTATTAATCGTAATGTTAATTTGACACTTTAAATTTATATGGTGATATGTTAAAAGCACATGCGTCTGTTATCTGTGTGTGCAGTTAAGCACCAAACCATAAAGGCGTATGGGGCAGTGGAGGTATAGATGGTTAGGAAGCTGAGTGGGCCTCGGAGCCTATCTGGACGTCGTAGCGAATAAGACCATCCCTGCCGGTAAATACTAATGAGAGGAAGACTTAACATAGATTGCATTATTTAAATGTTG